CCACTAATAACTATAGATAGCATTTATTTTTTGACTGTTCATGTATCTATATGATAATCTCTTTTCATATCCTCCAGGAAGTATAAGACGGCAACGAGCGATGATTTATGGCATCACCTGACGCTCCAAGCCCACATGGATGGCACTCTATCCAGGGATATGTCTGTAAAGGGGCTCATGAACACGTGGACGCTGCAGGTTGGATATCCTGTTGTCAAAGTCGTGAGGAGTCCAGATGGCACGTCAGCCAACGTCACACAGGTTCGTCAAAGTATTTTCTCTGTACAGGGATTTATCCAACCTCGACATATCTTGCTATTAAAAATCAACTCAAATTTTGATCAATATCCGTCTTTTATGGTCTTAATCATTCATATCACGACTGTATAATTCTACGTTTCTAACAGAAGTTATACCTAGCAAGGGGCCCCTTCGACCGAAACGACACCCTCGATCACAAATGGTGGATTCCGCTAACGTACACATCTCAGGGCGAGGCTGACTTTAGCCGAACCCACGACATAACGTGGATGAAGGATTCCGAGGACAGCATCACCATCACTAACCTCCCCCCGAAGGACCAGTGGGTCATCTTCAACCTTCAGGAGACTGGGTACTACAGGGTCAACTACGACGACCACAACTGGGACCTCCTCACCCAGCAACTGAAGAACGACCACAGAGTTATCGACGTTAAAAACCAAGTTCAATTAGTAGATGATGTAATGAATCTTGGAGTTGCGGGTAGGCTTCCTGTTTTACATAGTAGTGATGTATTATATAGTTTATATTGCATAATAATGAAGTGCATAATTAAATTTTCCTCCCTCTTGCGACGCCTTATTTCAATTTTTTTTTTCTCTTTTATTCTTCAGGAGACCTGTCATTCAGAGTGGTGTTGGATCTTATTAATTCACTGAAAAATACAACGGACTTAAATGGCTTTGTTGTGATTTCCAACCTTGAGTATATGAACCTGATGCTGTCGTCTACGCCAATCTATGAAAAATTCCAGGTCAGATTATAATTTAAGGAGAGAGTGAGTGAGTGAATGAGTGAGTGACTGAGTGACTGAGTGAGCGGGTGAGTGAGAGAGAGAGAGATAAAGACGAGAAATAGATAGATAGAGAGATAGATAGAGAGATGAGATAGATAGACAGAGAGATGAGATAGATAGACAGAGAGAGAGAGAGAGAGAGAAGAGAGAGAGAGAGAGAGAAGATAGATAGATAGAGAGGTGAAAGAGCAAAAGTAAATGAAAGTGATATGTACGGGGGGTGCTTTCAACACCCGTTAATATCCATTTACACCTTTTTTCCTTCCATTCAGCGCTTCCTCCTCTCCCTGCTGGCGCCCTTGTATGCTAATCTGGGTCTTTCTAACGGAGCTCCATCGACTTTTGGGTCACACGTCGAATATCCCGAAGTAGTCCGTTGGGCGTGCGAGTTCGGCCACCCGGACTGCATAGCGCGCGCCAAGAGTGCTTACAAACAGTTGATGAAGGACCCAGAGAATAGGTTGGTTTCTGGTGACAAAGGAGAAAGAGTGCTTACGGTTCGTTTGTTTGGCATTATAAATCTGCATGTAATAACACACACACACACACACACACACACACACACACACACACACACACACACACACACACACACACACACACACACATATATATTGGTATGTGTATTTCTTAGATTATACTCGGCCTTTTCCGCCATGATGTGAATATACAGTGTATTCTCAAACCAAGCAGCCGCATCCCGGAAGTCCTGAAGCCCACTGTCTTATGCACCGCCATTGCCCGCGGCGGACCGAACGAGTGGGCCTTCGCCTGGTCCCGCTACTTGAAAGCCCCGGAGAAGGAGAAGCAGAAGTACCTCGTCGCCCTCGGCTGCACGCGGGACTCCTTGATCCGCGACCAGTAGGTTCCTTCGCGTGTTGTTAGTTCTGAGGTCCCTGTTCTTGTGATTCTGTGTATTGATTATTCCTTTATGCTTTACTTCGTGCCTCTTAGTAGGGCCACTTGGCGAGATTGTCGGCCAGTTTGTTAAAATTGTGCTAGGCTCGACCCAGTAAATATGCACATATACAGACATGCATCTACACAGAAACAAATGCATATCTATCTATCCATTTGACAGATGTACGTTTATCTATCTATCTGCCAGGTAGATAGGCATGTTTAGACCGATAGATATGCACATATTCCTGTGTATATGCAAGTCCTTATTATGAATATTTATTGGGTCGGGCCTCGCGCAAATTTAACAAACCGGCCGTATAACTGCAACTATCACCAGATGACAGATTGAGCCTTCCATTGCAATACGTTTCTTTCCTCAGGTTCATAACAGAGACCCTGGGCAAGAGCCACTATCTCCCCATCACAGATGCCATGTATATCATCAACTCACTTAGTTCGCACCCACTCGGAGGACCCACCGGCTGGACTTTCCTTCAGAGCCACTGGGACGTCGTGACCAATACGTGAGACCTCGACCATTGTGATCTGTTTTACTCTTAGAGGGGGAAGTGCATGTGGGGGAGTAGGGTGAGGGTCCTGGTGATTTTTCCTTTTTCTCAAAATAGTTGGCAGCCTCAAGGGGAAACAGGCATGGAGGGGGGGGGGGGGGGTGATTTTTCCTTTTCTCTAGGGCAGCCTTTTCTGGGTGATTTTCCTTTTCTTCTCAAAATAGTTTCTGGCAGCCTCAAGGGGAAACAGCCCTTTTAGTAGGAGGAGTATCTTTCCCTTAACTGAAGTCCTGCTCTTCTGAAAGGCTGTACACGTAAGGCTCCTTAGAACGAGGCTTTGTTTACTTATGAACTAATTAAAGGCATTTCCATAATAACTCAGTCATATGTTGTTCCAAAGGATCGGCGACCAATACTATTTCATCAAAGTTCTCCTAGAGATGGCAACCAAATCCTTCAATACGGAAGAACAGCGACTGAAGGTAAGACGTCAGAGCATTTTTTCGACATCAAATTGCACTTAAAAGACACCACACACACACAGCACACGCACACACACACACACACACACACACACACACACACACACACACACACACACACACACACACACACACACACACACACACACACACACACACACACACACACACACATACACACACACACACACACACACACACACATACACACACACACACACAAACACACACACACACACTATATATATATATATATATATATATATATATATATATATATATATATATATATATATATATATATATACATATATATATATATATATATATATATATATATATATATATATATACATATATACATATATATATATATATACATATATATATATATATATATATATATATATATATATATATATATATATATATATATATACATATATATATATATTATGTATATTTCATATGGGTCTCCTTGCCGTAACCCTCTTCTGCCTTTAGGTGCAAGAGTTTCTGCAATGTCACGTGATCGACGAAGCCACGACGCGGTTCCTGAAGCCAGTGGTCAGCCAGACCGCGAGGAACGTGGCTTGGATGCATCGGAACTACGAGGTTATATCGCAGTGGCTTGACGAGAACGGTTTCTCTGACATCAATATCTGAGTTGTTGGTATTGTCGTTTTCTTTTATTCCACATGCCGTTGAGAGATAACGTATTTATTCTTATTTTTTTCTATTTATAATGTATTGGAGAGAGCAGATTAAAAATATATATAAAAAGGTTTTTGTTTTGTTTCATTTATCCCTGTATTAAGCCTCAGTTCATAAAAAAGTGCTGTTAATATACTATCACTGTAAAAGTAAAACAATACAGAAACAGTTATACTCACTTTATCATAACACCGTTATTACAACAACATTCTGCGAGCAATTTATGAAAAAATATGCTCCTACTATTATTATTACCATCACCACCGCTACTACTTTTACTATGTCCACTACTTTTTTCCACAAGACCTTCTACTACTACTACACTACAATTGATACTACTACATAACTATCACTACAACTACATTTGGCACTGTTTGTAATATCAACAAAATTCTACCTTCAGGAAAATGACAATAGTATAATGATTACAATCATGATAATGGCAATAGTATAACAGTTATTACAGCAAGAATAATAATGATATCAAAGATGTTAGCAATAGTACCATTATGATTATCATTTATCATTCTGATTGTTGTGAAAGCACTGAGTATAACGAAAACCATAATGACTGTAGAATTCATAGAATCTTCTGTGAATAGTATAAGTTACTCTTGAAATACTTTAGTTACCCTTAGAAAACTTGACATTTTCTTTGTTTTTCCACAGAAAACGTTAAAATCACATGATAGACTCTTCTAATATATAATAATAAACCGCTGTCGCCGGGAACGTAATGTAAACTGTAGTTTTTTATGAAATGTGTGAAATCAAAGATAGCTCCACAAATGCTCAGCCACCAAGGAGTCAATCAGTTCTAAAGGTATTAATACTGATGTTATTATTATTATTATTATTGATATTATTATAATTTAAACGTTATTGACAATACTATAGCAATATAAAAAATACATATTTCCAAAAATCAAGAATAACGGGTAAACGGGTGAGATAGGACTAATTGACTCCTTGGTGACTACGCACTTTTAGAGCTATTTATGTTGATTTTGAGGATGTGATAAACTCTCATTCGAGGTGGTCTATTTAGGAAAATGAATACATTTGTTAACCCTGAGAAAACGGGTGAGATAGGTTGGACTACTACGCACTTTTAGAGCTATTTATGTTGATTTTGAGGATGTGATAAACTCTCATTCGAGGTGGTCTATTTAGGAAAAGGGGTCAGAAAACATTGGAAGACCCATTTTCCAAATTCTTGACTTCAAAGCGCCATATTTGTTGTGTTGAAATGAAGTAACTTCTTGATAAGGGATTGGGGTATTGTTGGGGCACAATAATAACCAAAGGCTAGGAGGCCAAACTGCTGTGTGTAGA